GGAACAATGAAGGATATGACAGCAAACCGACAGCGGTGGCCTTCTTGTTGTCATTTCTTATCTGGCCACCTTAAATATTGCCACTAGTGCTTTATGCATCGCGAGTTTGACAGCGATCAGTGAAGTTCACGTCACTGTATTCCGCTGTACGACAACAACAATGATGATGATGATGATGACTAGTTCACCGTTCAGAGGGAAGACAAATCGTGCGTGATGTCGACATTCCTGTTGGTCTTCTCAGTCGTTACAGTGTAAAATAATGGGTTATTTATGCATACATGTGTTGATAACCACAGCGGTTTAACGGCGAACAGTCGGTAGAGATGGAAATTAGAATCAGTGCCACGGTATTTTGAATGGTCGCGTCAGAAACGTCTGTGCACACAAAATTGAATTGAGTAACTTGATTAACATCGCTTCGCTGAAACCTAAGATTCTTAGGTTCGTATTCCGTAACAACGGCCTGAACGACAAAAGTAGATGAACAATGTGTTCAGTTGTCATGGCATGTTTTTCCTAAAGTGAAATCATTTGGCTGTCCCGAGCACCTACTGGCGTGGCTCGTCGACTACCTCACAAACAGAACCCAGCATATTCAGCTCAGTAGGAAAACATCTGAACCGCTCGTGAACAATTCGGGAGTGCTACAGGGTGCCGTACTATCTCCGTTCTTGTTTTCCACCTACATCAGTGACTTGTCACTGAGTTCTGCAGCCCGGTTATTTAAGCACGCTGATGAAGTAGCTCTTCGCCAAGCCATTTCTGTTCGTTCTGGACTGTCTCTTAATTTATCCAAATGCCTCGAATGCACTTTCTCCCTCTCGATCTATTTATCCTCGTGATCCGTCTGTCATAAACACAGATCTCCTAACTAGAGTTGATTCTCTGAAGTATTTGGGAGTTACCATTGACACAAACTTAAAGTGTAAAGAAATTTCATGGATTATCTTTTCAGCTTTGAAGACTTAGGCAGTTCAATACCAAACAAAAAATCATTTCACTTTTCGTTTACCAATGTGTTTTTCCCGTTCTTCTTTATTGTTCCCTGCTGGTCTACTCAATAAAGACTTCAATATTCCTCGTCGTGGTTTGTCAATCATCAGTCATGTGTCTTTTATACCCGTTGTTGATCTATCTAAAAAAGACTGTGTGAACTTCACGTGTCCGCATGTGAAACATTTACACTGAAAATTTTCTCTGAATCCACACTCATCCTTTACATGACGATCTATCCAACTGCTGCTCTCATTCATTTACGCATCTTACATATCGATTATAACCCTCTCGCATCAATCTCTACACAAATTCCCCAGTTCCCTATCTCGCCAGAACTCTTGAAACTTTCTCAACAACGTTGGAGGTTAGATCTTTTACTCATTAGTTTTCTTCTTTTAATCCTATGTTCAGACATCCGTTGTAATAGGAGCCGACTCGTTCTACTGATATGTAAGTATCTTCACAACTGCTAATAAACAAGCGACGCGTATAGATGGGGAGACAGAGGACCACTCTGAATAAGATTGAACAATCCACCGATACGACAATCCGAGGACAGGATGTGTCAGGGTCAGGGACGACGGTCACGAGAAGGAGGGATGGGCGACCAAGAAACGGAGTAATTCGTGGCGAACAAGAATTGCATGTCTGGTGATTGATAATATGCACGGATCAAGACAATGACACTTGAGAGAGAGAGAGAGAGAGAGAGATAGATAGATAGAGAGGTGACTAGATAGACTTTTGAGTGAAAACGTGTTGAGGGTGGCAAGTAGATTTAACAGTATATAATTTCTCATATCATTAATTGGTTATCGTATTAATAGTACCGTATCACAGCCCTTGGTTTTCACGGTGTTGCAACCGAGACTTTACGGCTCACTTGTTGGCAAGTTCATTTCGAGAAGGCAGCGCATTCGAATGCTGCAGAAAAGGAATTACCAATAGCGATTACAAATTGCGAGTGCAGTTACGAGTGTGGACGAAGAATATAGTAGTGTATCAGGGCTTTTCCTGTTATTTTTGACCATGCTTTTAAGAACTTACTTGTTCGCGACTGTTGGAGGCCGGTCACAATCATACCAACCCCCCTCCGTCTCCAAACGTTTTTGTGGCATAGCGTTAACATCTTCAGTTTTCAACTTGACTAAAAAGGCTATCCTCCGATGACTTCAGCAGTGTATATACGTTCCCAAATGATCCGTTACAGTTTGCTTACCAGCCTAATAGATCCGCCTTGGACCTGGTCTCCCCCCTCATTCATTTTATCACCAAGTCTTTGAACCGCTCTGTTATGTCTGTTTGGTGTGTTTTCTGGACTACTATTCTACAATGGATTCCATTTCTCGATCTAAGTCGTTACAAAAACTGGAATCGTTTCAATGCCCCAAGCAATTGTATGGTTGGCTATTCAACTACCGTATTGATAAAGAACAAACCACTACACTAGGGAAAGTCCCATCTAAACCCTTAGTCAACAATTCTGGAGTTCTTCAAGGAGATGTGTGTGTGTCTGCTATCTCCATACTTATTTTCCACTCATGTTTGTGATATGTCTTATGCCTCTCCTGCACGTGTTTTGCACTATGCACACTATCTAAGCTCCATCGTCGAAAATCTTGATAAAATTCAGTTATGCTCCTCCTGATCGAGGCTAACCGTAAACTCCAACAAATCTGTTTAGTGTTTATGTATTTTTGCATGCTCTTCATATCCGACAGCCCCCGCTTCCCCCGCGGGGATAAACAAAAATCCTTTATCTAGAATGAACTCTGTCAACTACCGTGGTGTAACTTTAGATAGCAATCTTCATTGATCAATTTACATCCTTAATTTCGTTGTGAAACTGCGTGGCCTGCCATTTCAAATTCGAAAGCTCAAACAGTTTCGCGCACCCCAGCCGGTTATTTCCATCTTTTTTAATCAGTGCGTTTTCCCCCATCGTACTTTATTGTTCTCCAGTTATTTTCCCTGGCTTACTCAAACAGGATTTCAATGTCTTACGTTGCGGTCTAACGATTATTAGCCGCGCCTCTTCTATTTCTGTGAATGGTTTAGCTGTGAAAGTTTCCGACTATCACGTAACTTCCTGTGTGAAATTTCTGGCGAGAATTCTTCCAGATCCTGACCTCAGCCATTGCACGCAGAACTGACACGTTGTTGTTGACACGTACACAGAATACACAATCTCAACAGAACATTCTTCAGTTTCAGTTTTTACAACCATTAACCATGCACTTTCGTGCGCCGGTTTTGGTTGCTGTCTTTTGGCTGCCAATTGGGATGAAGAATAGGAGAAGAAAGGAAAGTTGAAAGTGGATTCGAAAGGAAAATGGAGAAGTTC